CCACTTTTGCTTATGCACCCATTTGTCTTCAGTGATAGTATCAGGAAGGTGAGCATACAATGATATGATTATTTGTTCTTTGATGCCTAATCCCTGATCCCTCCGACACCTTGTGATCACACAGGCTGGTGTGCTTCTTCCACGGGCACACCATTATTATTAAAGAAGCCTGGGTGCAGCGATGGACCAGCACTCTGGATGATAACTAAAAGGATAGTGGTTCAAAGCCACCAGCTGTTCCATAGGAGGAAGATGCAGTAGCCTGCTTCCATAAAGATCACAGCCATGGAAACCCTATGGGGCATTTCTATTCTGTCATATAGGGTGATTATATGTTGGAATCAACTGGATCACAACAAGTTTGAATTAAAAAAAAATTTTTTAACTCACTTTAGAGACTTGCTGTAGAGAAAATGAGGTAGAATAAACCCACAAAGACACTACCGTTGAGTTGATTTCAACGCATAGCAACCTAAAGACAGAGTAGAATTGCCCCTGTGGGTTTCCAAGACTAACTCTTTACAAGAGAAGTAAGCTTCACTTTTCTCACAGACAGGGCTGGTGGTTTCAAACTGCTGACCTTGTAGTTAGCAACCAACGGGTAACTGCTACATCACCAGGGCTCCTCTGGGGTAGAATAAGCTCCTTAAATAATGTAACCTATTACAGCCCCATGAGCTTAGCATCTTCGGTCCTGAAGCATTTTAGAAGGGATCTCACCTTAGCAGACCATGGACATCAGGCTACCTGCGCTGATATAGTAGCTACACGAGCTGGTAACTCGCTTATACTGGTGGAGCCATCAGTCTGCAGTCCTGCACAAAATCAAACAGTCCATGCAGCTGCTAGTAGTGAAGGTGGGTTTACTGCTACTCTCAAACTCCCCCAAGCCAGAAACACGCCATCTTTGCTATGTGATACAGGGCTCTGGAGCTAATCCGCAGAGCTGGTTCAAAGCTCTGTTTTCAGAAGTCCATGGTTCTCCTTTGGGTATAGGATGAGGTGCTCTGAAAGCACATAAATGAGACTGATTTTCACACCATATCATCTGTAATATGCCCACTCCTGCTACTTAACCATAGAGATTTTTCTTTCTATAACCCATAGCTCTAGAATATGGCTCCAGGATATGCATTATGAACAAGCCCTCAAGGACCTTCTAACATATATTCCTGTTTAACTCATGATGACTTTGAGGAATTGAAAACAGCATTTTCAGGTTGGCATTATTCTCACTTCCTACTCTTACCTAGAACTGGAATAGTTCAGTCAGATCACCTTATTTCTCTTTCCCACAACTGGCCCAAGAGGCAACAACATGATGAACAAAGAAAAGACTGAAGTCAAGGATCCTCAATCAACACACATGGAAACAATAGTCAAGAAATCAACTGACAGATTACTCTGGGAAAATCTGCACAGATATTCTATTTAAAGTGTTAAAGAGAGAGTACTTGAGTAGAGGCCCAATGTCTGTCTGCTACCTTGACACTTAACATATAAATATATGTACACAGACCTTATTTCCTCATCCTATTTCCTTAAATATATTTACATATGTACATGTCTGTATTTAGACCTCTGTAAATGCCCTTTGCCTCCTAGTTCTTTCCTCTATTTCCTTTTACTTTCCTCTTGTCCCACTATCATGTTCAGCCTTCA